GGAAAAGATTATACATTTTAAACTTGGCGCCTCCGAGATTAATTTTCTCCAAAAAGCCGCGCGAATTTGTTCTCTGCCGACCAAACATTCATTTCTTCATGCAAAGTCCTTGGAGTCGGTTGTCAACTTCTTTGTATTAGCTCGGATTGTCACCGAAAGATCGCACCAGCTTCTGGGTAGCTAAAAATTGGCATTGCCGAAATACCAGGAGTTTTCTATCGCAGACGCCTGCTCGCCTTGTCACAACAAGCAAATGCGGAAAGCTGAGTAAAAGCGTTTTGAACGTCTTCAAGGTTCGACCCAGAGTGTGCCAGGCACAGGATGTAGTAGAAACACGTAGCAAAAAGCCTCAGAATTCGTAAGGAAAGGGTCAGTTTTCGTTTGGACAGAGGTAACTGTAACAACTTCTTCAATACTCGTTAATTCTTTCTCCAAGTAACAATCCTTGTCTATTGTGTGTCATCTCTTTTCCAGAACACTCTTGTCCGACAAAAACTACTGAGATAGAAGAGGCGTTGTTTCGTTGCCATTTCCATCAAAATGCTCTCCCAACTTTTCTTCTACTATTTCGCCGCCTGAACAGATGGTGTTCCCTTCTTTACCCAGGACAATTAATAGATCCTGTTTCTGAGTTGTTATTTTCTTAACGATTGTGTTGTGGTGTTTTGGATCGACTGCTCTTTTCATCTCTGTGAGGATATCAGCATATGTCTTTCCCTCTTTGGTAGTGATTTTGATGGCCAGGTTCAGGGTTTTATTTCTTGGCCTGTTTTGATAGGCTTTCACTTTCTCTTTTCTTTTTTCTTCTCTTGCCTCTTTCTTCTTTTGCTCCGGTGGTATCAGCCATTCTTCATCTCCCTCCACCCCCATTTCCTGCTGTTCTGTGGCGTCACAGGTGACATCTGTTGACTCTACCAAAGCTTTCTGTTTTTCTTTCTTCCCTCTTCTAACGTCGTCTTCTAGTACGCTAGATGCCTCTCTCTTTTTCCTTTGAGCCGTGGTGGGTACTGTCTTTTTTATATGTTAGTGAACTCTTCCCGTTTTACTAGGGATTGCATAGCCTTTAGAACTTTATCTTCTCTTCAAGGGCTTTAGACATAGCTTCCTTACGCTTACCGTGTTATTTTTAACATATACGCCTCCATCGTCTTGAGGTTTTCGTTTAGGCTATCAATGATAGCTGTCTGCTGATCTTCCAGTTGTATGGTGTTCCCATTTATTCATCAAAACACTACGTCATTTCTTCTGCGGGTCCTTTTCCTGTCTCAGGTCCTAGTCTCTCCCTCGCCGCGCCATCTCGTACTACAGTCGTGCTTGGATTTCGCTCCCGCTGGTCGGTAGGTATGCCTGGAGTGGTTGGGGTTCTTGGAGGCGATCTCCGCAGCTTCGACCTTCCAGAAAAGGGGTTAACACCTGCTTTCGCTTGTCGCAGTATAGTATTTCAGAGACGCCAAGCGGTCCACGTCTCTGAGATTGCAGTCG